ACTATACAATAATCACTAATATACTATACACTAAAAGATAGACACAATACACCAGTGCGCACAAATGCGACACACTAGTATACATTGACACTAATACATAAGTACCATGTACACAAAAATACACATAGGTAAGATAATACAATTATTCTATTACACTACTGTAACATACACGTGGATACAATACACTGAGATAGGTAGAAACTTACGCTAAGTTACAATATATAAAAAAGTTAAGTATTGATACACATAGATACTGCGTAAATTCTATATATTTTAAAATACACTTTTGTGTAAATATTAATAATACACAGTACTACTACAGGTGTTACTCTGTATGTTCTTAGATCTTGAAACATGACAACATGATGCTAGAATATATTTATAGACACAATAAACCAATGACACGATGCGTCAATATACATAAATGTTTCACACTAATATACTATACACTAAAAGATAGATACAATACACCAATGTGCATAGATGCGACACACTAATATACTATACACGTATATACTAAACACTAATACACGATACACTAAAATATAGGCACAATACACCAATGCACATTAATGCGACACACTAATATACTTTACACTGATATACATTGACACTGATACGTAAGTACCATGTACACAAAAATACACGTGAATTAGATTATACAACTATTCAATTATACTATTGTAACATACACGTGGATACAATACACTGATAATACGTGAATACAGTACACGTAAATAAGATTAAACAATTATACTATACTACTGTTACATACACGTGAATGCAATACACTGAAATATGCAGGCATATACGCATATGAGAACACTAAATACTACGTGGATTCGACATATTATGAAGTGCACATTAATGTGAATATTTAATACATGCCTACTACAGGGGCTGAGCCTCTTAAAAACTTGACAACATGATAATAGAAATTTACACTTTGGCTGGTAGATGTACATAAGAAACAGGCGGACATAAACTGTAAGAGAATTCTAGACTGCACTATACACTTGTCTATGCATTATTCTCTTGGTGCGTGTACGATGGGTACAGTGCATGCCTGAGGTACGTTGTTAATGCGTCTGTGGCACGCTGAGCATATATGCTAGCGAGGTACTCACTTTGCCACGTATGTTACAGAAACTGGCATGTGCGGCACCTATGCAGGGCTGCAGAGCTCCTGCCCCAGTACTTCTAAGTGATCCATGATCTTTTTGATTTTGTCCATAAGTCGTGGTTGTTTCAGCACGAATCTTTTAAAGGCGGCCACATTATTCGACGGGAGTTTAACGTGCCATTGTGTGGTGAGTTGACACTCCGTCAGGTAGTGGTCGGGGGACCCGATTTTTCCGCAGACACATAGGTCTGTGGAGGATATATTTCTCTCTGCGAAGTAGGTCGGAAACGGCCCATGTCCTGTGATGAATCTTGTTAAGAAGGGCGCAGATATGAGTCGTTCCGTGTCCACTTTTCGTATGAATTCGAAAGTTCGCCGACTCTGTGGTGACGTGTTCCATTCCTGCTGCCACTGCGACAGAGCTGACTGCCAAGTCTGCCGCTTGAGAAGTGACTTTGGTAAAGGTGGGTCTATTTGCACCGCATCCCGGTCCTGTGCTGCCTCTTTTGCCAGGGTATCTGCGCGTTCGTTGCCCTGGGCACCAACGTGCGCTTTTACCCAAGAGATTTCAATTTTTTGGACCGGACTCGTATTTCTTAGTGTCTCCTGAATTTGGGACACGAGTGGGGAGGTGTGGCGTGGGTCGTTGATGGCGTATAGTACCGATAGGCTATCAGTATAGATTGTAAAATCTTCTGCTGTGGTAGTTTGTGCCCATTCTATTGCTTTCAGCAAAGCAAGGGCTTCCGCCTGGAAGACCGAATTGTGCGGAGACATATGGCACTTCCAGGTTTGCACTTCAGTGCCATTATGGAAAACTGTATATGCGCTGCCGACTGCATTGTCCATCTTCGACCCATCCGTGTAAATCATGAAGCCCGGGCCCTCTATGGATGGTGGTAATTCAGGGGCGAAGTGAGTCACAACACCTTTCCCGTAATCTGAAGGGTGCGTTTTAAGTTTTGAACTTTTAAACTCGAAGTCTGCAGGGTCATAGCTGAACTCCCCAAATCGTGCTTTTCTATGCAGTTGGGAAAACATTGTAATTGCGGCTTCCTGCTGTGCTTTTATTGGTAACGGGATTAGTCCCGCCAGAACTGCTGCGGCTGCTGTCGACGTTGTTCGATATGCCTTTGTAATCGCCAGTACGAAAGGTCTTTGGGAACTTTGAAGAATTTTTTGTTTCCTGCAGGTCATGGGGTTTGCCCAGATTGCCGCCCCGTAGATCATGATCTTTTCTGCTACTGCAGAGTATAGGATCTTTAGAATATGGGGACGCAGTCCCCATTTGGAGCCTTGCATTTTCCTTAGATTCATGGCTATTTTTAATGCTTTTGTTCTTTGCGATCTTAAATGGGGGATCCAGGTAAAGCCTTCATCTAGTATGATACCTAGGAGCTTCATCTCTTTAACTCTTTTAATCCTGTGACCTGCCATCGTAATTGTCGGGTTTCTTTGTAAGGTCTGGCCCGGTTTATGGTAGATGATATATTTAGATTTTGAATGCGAGATGTTAAGCTTCTTAGCCTTGCAAAGGTCATAGAACATGTCAATGACTTCCTTGCAGTTTTTGTTCAAGGATGACGCGGCTTTTCCCACTGACCACGAAAGTGGCATCATCTGCGAAGGCTGCGACTGTTGTGTGAGCCGGCCATTCTGCTTTTAGAATCGAGTTAAATGTTAAGTTCCACAGGTCTGGACCTGCGCATGATCCCTGTGGGCAGCCTCTTTGCTGTGGCCTGGTAATTATTCCACTATTGTGAACCGCGATGAAGCTGCGGTTACTGAGATAACTTTTAAAAATCTGTAGGATGTTATTTGGGATGTTAGCTGCATGTAAAGCTTCTAGGATTGCCGGCCACCACAGGGAGTCAAATGCACTTTGCAGATCCAGACTGAGGACTGCCACATGCTGTTGTTCTTTGCGCAGTCGCTTGACTTCCTCGCAGACGTGCTCCAGGACATTAAGCGTAGAGCGATGCTCCCGAAAGCCATATTGTGCATCTGAGAGAACACCGTTTTTTGCTATATGATGCTTCAGCCTGAGAACGAGAAGCTTCTCGAAGAGCTTTCCCAGGACTGGCAGAAGGCAAATTGGTCTAAAGGACGAAGGATCATTGGGGTCCTTGCCTTCTTTCGTAAAGAGGACCACTTGGCCCGTTTTAAAATGTGTTGGAAAGTGCTTAAGACTTAGAAGTTTGTTGAAGTAAGCCACTAGCAGTCTTGGACAGGCTTTGTAGGTTGCCCTCAAGATCCGGTAGTCTATAGAGTCCGGCCCTGGTGCCTTTTTGACCGGGAGAGTTCGTATAACAGTTGTGACCTCCTTAACTGTAAATGGGGGATCATCTGGGACTGTCGTGGACAGGCTGTATGCCTCATGTTCAGAAGAAACATCATTCCCATCATGTGGGAATACTGCGTCAAGGATGCGTTGAAGTGTGGTGGCCATGAAGCCTTGTGACCCTATGTGTGAACCAGCATACGTGCGATGTAATGGTGGTATGAATACTTTGCTGGAGGCTATCTTGTGTAGTACGCCGAAAACTTCAGTGTGCTGTGTGCAGAAGTTCCTCCAGCTATCGAGCTTTGCCTTCAGAATGTCCTTCTTGTACTGAGCCTGCGCTCTTTTGTATTCTACGCTGAGTTGTTGTCTACGATCCGGGTCCCGTTCTTTTTTTCAACCTTCTGCGCATCGCCCGCGTGCGGCTTCGCTTGGTCCGTAGCTCCTTTGTCCACCAGCTGGCAGCTTTAAGAATTTTGGGAGATTTGATGCTCATCGTACCGTCGCATGTTTGCTGTATTAACTGCACCAGGTTACATGTGATGCGATCTGCGTCTTGTGCCGTGGAACAATTGTTCAGTTCATCTCCTTGCTGTTCCAGGACCAGTCTCATTTCTCGGGTGAATTTCTTTAAGTTATGTGCCGAGGTTCTATATCGTTTAAGTGATAATCGGGAATGGGGATGCATGAGGACTGAAAGTGATGTATCGATGGTCTGAGTTTGTGGGCGTATCCTGCACCTCCCAGTTCTGGATTTTTGTAGCCAACTCTACTGTGGACAGCGTGAGATCTGGCCATCCCTGTCCAGTAGTTGTCTCGAAAGTGGGGAGGCATCCTTGGGTGTTGTGTAGAATTAGGTCATGACTCGCTATAAAGTCCTCAACAAGTCTACCACGTGGATCAGTAAATGAGTAGCCCCACACTTCAGAGTGGGAGTTAAAGTCTCCGACTAAAAGGTGGTTGCTGGAGGGATAGTCTCGGAGTGTTGTCTGCAGCTGGTCAAGATATTCTGCGGCTTCCGCTGTGGGTGGGATGTAGGTATTCGTAATCAGGAGACTTAGTCCCACTGCATCAATTGCTATGGTAACTTGGTCTCTTGACAGTGAGATACTTGTAAGTGACCATTTGTTACGGCAGCAGACTATGGCAGCTCTTGACCCTTCTCTTTCCGGGTTCTCGAAAATGGTCCAGGATAAGGGGAATTCTGCCACCCTTCCTGCTTGGATGTATGGTTCTTGTATGAGCAGAAGGTCAGCCTCTGTTTCCATTGCATAGTGGACTAATTGGGCGGTAGCTGCCCGAGCTCTCTGGAGGTTCACCTGTATGATCTTAACCTCTTCTTGCGCATCTAGGAGAGAGTTAATGTCCTGTCTTTCGGTACTATTACTTTGTTGTGACATTCTGTAAGGTTACAACGTTGGGTGACGATGGAGGGAAAATGAGACAGATTAGAGAGTATGCTTTTGGTGTCACCATTATGCAGTATAGGTACACTTGGTATTCAATTGGTGACTGAGGTACCGTAATCTGTCCGGCCCTTGATCTTAAGCACTTGCAAGTGAAAGGAGGGGCAGTCAGGGGCATATGCGGCATGCACAGTGTCGAAGTCTCTCCCCGAGTGCTGGTTGGCAATTAGACAGTTTACACAGCTCGGGCTATCAGCCATGCATTTTTTGACATCGTGGTTTCCACCACAATATGCACAATGATACCTAAATTTACAGTCTCTTGCCGAATGTTCGAAGTCCTGGCAGATGAAGCATCTGCGTGCCCCTGTAAACTCTGTCACACGATGTTCCCTCCATCCCTGGAACGAAACTCTTTGATCCATCAACGTTTTAAAGGCTGTCGGTGAACAGTCTAAAATCCATTTAGCCGCCTTGTTCCTCCGATCGCTGATCCTGAAAGAGACCTTGAAATCATCTTTACTGATAGTAAAGGTCCTAGAGACAAGGTCTGCTACCTCCTCCGCCGGGGTACCATTTGGAATATTATCTATCGCGCACTTTGGGGACCTTTTATGTGGAATCCTCGTGCTGATCTTATCTTTGATGTTAACATTCTGTGCCAGGGCATGGTGTAACTTTGCCACATCCTCCTTCGAGTGACAGCGCACTGCAACTCCTCCTTTGCTGAGCTTCTGTATTCCTTTCAGTGACACCCCCATATCCATTAAGGGCGCATGCCTTTCCAGTTCCATTTGCAGGTCTGGTGCATGTTCGTCTTTCGTAGGAAAAATAAGGAGCGTGGGAAATCCTTAATTTTCGGTCTTAGGTTCCGCTGCAGTGTCTCTGCATATGAGCGTCTCTTTGCCGTGCCACCTAGATGTGTGTCCTCAGACTGAATCCTTCCTTGAATGACACTTTCGTGAAGCACTGTCGAGCCCGTCACTTTAGCGTGCAAGCCTTCACAGCACTGATATGCATAATTAAGTCGCTTGTGGGCATCTGTAAGCGTGTCCGTGTGCTTCGTCCCTAAGAAGTGCTCCATGTACTGTGGCGAGGGTGAGGACCCTATGGGGTTAAACTCTGTAGTGGTACCAACTTCCGATGGTTGGCAATTGGGGGTATTCATTCGGGCCTTTGTGGGCCAAATGCCTGAGGACTTCTAGGATCTCAAGCATGCGCTCTCGCAAATCTTTAGGCAGTAAGTGCCGATTTCGCCGTTCTATAGTGCTTACACTGATAGCTTCCTTAATTAGGGCATCTATTTTTTCGGCATAGCTGAGAGAATCACTGTCGTAGAGGCTCTGCGGGTTTAATACTGCTGCACAAATCGAGGTGCCTCCGTCATTCATGGTGGAAGTTCCGTGGACACTGGACTGTTGCACAGATAGAACACTACAAGCCCTGAATGCTGATTAAAAACACAAGAGTTCACTTGAACTATGAGATTCAACTAGACATTGAAGCTTCACTAAAACGCAGATGCTAAACACTGAGCACTATAAACTGATGCTATAAACACTAGAATTCACTAGTAAAATGCTAAAACGTTGGGAAATCAGACGTTGGGTATTTCTCTGTAGTCTCTTTAAAAACACAAAATTCACTTGAACGTCGAGATTCCACTAGACACTGAAGCTTCACTAAAGCGCTGAAGCTAAACACTGATGCTAAACACTGGTCACTACAGACTGAAGCTAAAAACACTAAAATTCACTGACAAAGCACTTAAACATTGGGAAAATGAGCGTTGGGTGTATCTCTGTATACTCATAAAAACAGAAAAATTCACTTGGACTCTGGGATTCCACTAAACACTGATGCTTCACTAAACACTGATCTCTACACACTGATGCTATACTCACTGATACTATGAACACTAACTTACACTGTGAAAGCACTGAAGCGTTGGCAGAACACTAACACACTGTAAAAACACTGAGGAATCACTGATGGTACTGAAGATAATACTAAATTGACACTGAAAACTACACAGTCAGTGCTGGTATTTCTCGGTAGTACTTTATAACAATAATTACAGTATTAATTAATTATGAGATATAAACGAACAGGAAATAGTATTCGAAGAATTGTTATAACCTGTGTGCAAAGGGTATAGGAACCAATATACACAAATTATAAACAGTAATTAATAAGATGAGATCAGTTCATACATATAATTAATTAACACAAATGTCCTATTAGTAATTATGCTAAAATGGGCATAAATGAGAGTCAAGGAAGCCATGCGTAGCTTAATGTAGACTATTTAATTTCACTGAGGCAGGCTATGCTTGAATTTATTTGGCAACAGGGTAATTAATAAAAGCTGTTAATTAGAGGTACTGAAACAAAATTCCTACCTTAGCAGCTTAACTTCTTCTGTTTTTCATCTGTTAAAGAAGAGTAGTAAGTAATCCGAGGTATCAAATTAATTGCATTAATTACACTGACACGCACACACACTATAGCTTGCACGGTAAACACGAAGATGGCAAAATTCCTTAAGTCTAATAAATTCGACTTTAAATTAATAACTTCTGAACAAATTGTCCTAATTTCACAAAATTTAAAAACTTGTAGCGCTCTCTGGGTGACTGAAACAATGGCACTAGTGCTGGAGTCGTCGCTTGTTAATTAGCCGCGTAATTACAGCTGAAACAATACTCCACTTGTCGATTTTCTCCTTTTGTTAAGAAGCTTTGAATGGAAAGCTACGGGGGGTAGATTGCTTCCGGTTGACCGTTGGTAAGGCGAAAAGGTCAAAGTTCATAAAATTGCACGTGAAAAACTTTATTTATTGCTGGGCTTCTAATTGACATACGAACTTGCAATAAGCATCAAAACACTCGTGAAGAAATTGCGAATCCAATGATATAAAACACAAGGAGTGTTGGCGAACGGCGGCTGCTAGATGGGCGCTTGAAGTCGCACGGAAAGGCTTACTTGATTATCTTCTTAGCCGTTAATCTTCTTCTGTTTTTCATCTGTTATTAACATCTAATCCAAAGGCAGGGTGTAACACATATGAAAACACAGGCACTAACACATTAAATCACTGGCACACTAATGCGGCACTTTCCTTAAAGATGGCAATTAATCCATATCTCGAGAAGTTATTGGTCGATTTCTTCCAAATTTACATCCTTACGCTCCTCATGGCTTCAAAGAGACGATTTCGAAGAAAGTAATTTGCTAGGCTAATTAGTGGCGAAATTAGCAAATTGTAAGAAAACGTCCACTAGTCGAAAATCCCCCTTCGTCAACAAAAGGAATCCAGTTCGACGGGGGGTCGTTGATAGCTCCCTTTGTACTGCCAGTGAAGAAATGTCGATGGTTGCTCACTGCGGAAATGTCGAAGGTCACCAGACCTCGTGGTTGATAATTTAATACTTTAAATATTCATAACTCCGCTGCTAATTGTCGTAGACACTTGACACCGGCATGCTTTTCTTCCTCGGAGAGTGCTCTATAAGATGGTATAACTTTCTTCCTGCGGCGGGGCACGACGGCTCTCACAGAGGGCCTCGAAGTCACAGCGACCGTTGAAAATGGCTCTGTTCAATGTAAATTCGTTAAAAAAATCAAAATTAAGGAACCAATTATCATAGATGCACAATTTTGGTCTCAAAATGTTCCTAAGAGCTTTAGTAATACGGTGCAACTACTTTTGTATCGCTACGATGAAAACTTCCGCTGATAATGGATGAAACGACGGAGCTCAAAATACGCGTCCTTCTCTTACGGTATTTTCCCTTCGATAAAAACTATACAGTTCGGCTTCTAGCCTTGCTCGATCTTTCACTATGGGGAAGGCCTTTAATACGACTTTTGAAATTTTCAAATGTATATGTGTGGCCTCCGAATTCCCCTAATAAAAATTTGCCTATATTCTTCCACCATAGTCCACCATAGTGCCTGTCCTCTTAGTGCAGATGTGGCGATGACAACTTTTTGTCTTTCAGGCACAGGGTAGAGCTGGAAGTAATTGTCTAGGCCTTGTAGAAATATCGCCACCGAAATTTTTCCGTCGAAATTGACGTTTGGCTTAATTGACGCTGTCATCGTCTGGACCAGGTATCCAAATCCTTCCAGTTGGCTTGCCATTTCTTGTTGTTGTCCAGCAACTTCCATCCAATTTTCGGCCATTTCAGTTCGACAAGTGTTCGGGCGCCAATGTAAAGTTGCGCGCTTCCAACCTGCACGCAACAATAGTGGTGACTGCTGAAAACTGGAAAGTAGACCAAAGTCTTGAGAAGGGTTTCAATTATTTTTTATTCAACTTTAGAAATTACAAATGCGTGCTCTTGACGCTCACAAACTACGCCGACCTGGCGGTAAAATAAAAATAAGAAACTAAGAAAATAATAGTAACAAGTGACTAACTACGAGGCTCTCTAAACGTAACTAACCTCACCGCGTTCTAAAATACCGCTGATAATTCAGCAAACTCTGAATATTACGTTGAAAGATTAACAATCTGCCGAGGCAAACACACAGGCCGAAACGCGTGGTTCTTCGTTCTAACTAGCCACCCCCGCTCGTGAAGCAAGAAAGCACACCTTCGAACTCGTTTCCCTTCTATTTAACTCAGAATACTTCCGCTGACAATTTGATCCTTGCGCGTTCTATTAAATTTACATACGCTGGCATTGGCAATTCCAGGGGAAAGTAAGGCTTGACAGGAAAGATAGTTTAAACTTAAAATAAATGTTAGTTAAAATAAATATAAACCCTACAATGTAATGAAATTTTGAACGCAGACGCTCAGTGCTATGACAAAACCAATAAAATGACAAATTCAGCATGAGATAAATGTTTTGCAACATTCAAATGAAACCAGAAACAGCCAAAACATGGCATCTCATATTTCCAGAATAGTCCAGCTAATAAGAAGTATGGCGGACACACAAAGCTTTATGAGCATCCTATAGCGCCCTCTAACTGTAAATGAGGTTTTCAGTCGTAGCTTCTGGTAAGAAATCCTATTTTTGTAAAACCAAAGAATTGCATGTTGCCTCACCTTAAGTCGTGCTATAGCTGTTGCTAAAGCATCCTAAGAATGCTGCACATTATTTAGATCCAGGTATGTCATTGGTCTATGCGACGCATACTCTCTCTAGAAGATCATCGATTAGTTGAGCTTTGTCTGCCCTTCCTTTATCGTTCATGAAAGTAGAGTCGTTTCTATTAGCTTTCAGGAAATGCCTCACATAATATTCGAAACCCTCATACGTATAACTCTGTTCAGTCTCATAGTCCGCGTCGAAGACATGAAGTAGTATGCTCCAGTTCAAATCAATTTCTATCTATACAAGAATTCTATCAAAGTGGTCGAAGTCCCTTTGTTTGCAGGGATGATAGCGGACCCATGTTCTCTCCAGGCCAAGACTCGTTGAGAATCACTCTATGTAGTGCATTTCGACTAATCGCTCAAGAGAATATGACCCCAAGCTTTCTGGCCGGTCCAGTTTTTTTTATCATACAAGCGGCTTGTGCCGGCTAGGAGGATCGGGGCTGTGCCCTTATAATGATAATGACCCCAAGCTTGCTGTATCTAATAATTGTACGCCAGGCTGCACAAAAGACGGCCTTTCTTCTGCGATCTTTCGAAGCAGATACATACACATCGTCGACTGACATAAAGATACTGCTGTGCTAGGTGACTTTATAATCTGCCTGAAAATTGTATTTCCAGTCGCAGAAACATATTTTTGCCGCTATCTCTGTATAGCGTCGTACTTTTATTGCTATGTTTCTGTCCTCCGCAGGCGTTGTGGCTTTTGGACGGCTTTGGCAAAATCTGTGATTTGCAGATTGGGATTAATGTAATGACTTGTATACCACCTTGCCAAAAACTAGTTCTATAGATTAATGTCATATATTTTGAAAACTTTTTTCTGTTTCCTTAAAAAGCTATTCTTTTAAAAACCACCGCATACATATATCGTTCTCCAAATTATATATCAATTCAGTTTTTAAAATATTAATGGCAATTACTTTGAATCATTGTAAAAGAATGAGTTAATACCTTTAATTTTGCGCACAACAACGTACCTTTCCAAAGTTTCTTCAGCTGCTGGAATGTTCTTGGCAAATCGTTTTCTGAGACTTGCGAACAGCGTCCACTTTTTAAACCGGATGTTCTGACGACCTGGAAAGGAAAAATGTATAGGAAAAAGTCAGCGAATATGGAAAGTAAAAGACGAAAGTACCCCTGCTCTCAGAATTGCTTAGGGCTTATCACTTTGAGTTCCAAAGCTTTAATATCGCGAAGAAATTAATTTTTATAATTTTAATGTCCAGACCTTCACGTTTTGTGGCGCAGTCGCCAACCCGAAGGTTAGCAAAGAAGACTAAATTAACAGAAGGAAATTTTCCTTATGCAAATCCTTCTGCAAAAGGATTTGCATAAGGAAAAAATTCATGGTCTGCAGGTCACTTAAAATTAAAAAAACAAAATTACGGTGATTTTTATTGTGATGCTTATTTGCCTAACATGCTTTGATCAGAATTCCCACTAATGCTTGTTGCATTATTGCCATTGTGTTCGCTACAAGTTTACTGAGTTTTTACGACCGTCTGACTTATGTATTTCCATTCAATAAACAAAAACTGCATCTTTCTAGAAATAGCTGATAAATGACGAAACATATTGAAACTTTTGCATAGTATGAAGTACATAATGCATTTGGTTAATGATTAATAAATTACCGTAATACTTCTCTGATGAATGTAAACAAAAAAGGCAAAAAGGCTGATTAACTTTTATTACGAGGGTCACTCTGAAATTTTTGAGATGCACGTAGGTTTTTAAAGTTATACTTGCAAAATTTTAGGAGTGTTCAAAGTAGTCTCTTCCAACATCAATATACTTCTGCAGGCGAATTTTCGAAAGATTAAAGCCACTGATTTCCTGCAATCGATAAAAAAAATGTATTTAGAGCCTCATCACTCTCATCTCCGGAATGAAAACAACGTGCATGTTAAATTCTTTTCTAGATTTAAAAATATCCAAAAGTCACACATAACTAGATCGGGTGATCAGGGTGAATGTTCTGTCACTTTGATGCGTTTTTGTTCAAGAAACTGAACTGTCAATCTTTCTGAATGAGAAGATGCATTGCCATGGTGGAGCATGAGTCCTCTAACATTCACTTCTGAAGAATTTCTGGAAGACACTGGTGGTGTACCAGTTAAACTGCTCTTCTGTCCTTCCAGCTTGATGGTTGACCAGTCCCGTACTGGAGTAAAGACAACTTACTTTTTCATGGCACGTTGTCTTTTCACCATTGTAGGCGTAGGATCGTCTCCAAAGACCCATATTTTACTTTCTTGACATGTTAGAACCTCAAAAATGGTTAGAACGTTTCATCACTAGTTACGACTTTAGAAATAATGCGGTGGCCACTAGCTTTAAGGGTTTCCTTACTGATTCTGACAGACTTCTCTTAACGGTGATCAGTTAAATTAAGGAGAACCCAAAGGCAAACTAGTTGTTTTTTTCATATGGAGTTCTTCGTGAATAAATTTATATATGGCGGCAGATCCAGTGTTCAGTTCTTTCTGTATCATTTGGTACGTGCAGCGATTATCATCGATTAACATTTTCCGTATGGCAGACACATTATCCAGGATTACTGCTGACAACGGCCTTCCTGTGTGTTCTTCATCCTGTAGAGAGTTGCGACCTCTGTGAAATTCTATAAACCATCTGAATACAATGGCACGAGATAGATCTTCATATCCAAATACTAAATGTAGACGTTGAACGCATTCTTCTTGATTTGATCCCACTTTAAAGGTCATAGAAAATCATAGCCCAGTAATATTCTCGCGTCAACTCGATTTTTCCTTCTGCTGAAAATTTATTCTACGCTAAACTGCTTGCAATTGGCCAGTAAAAATCGTCTGCTAGGCTAAAATAGTTCATATTTTCAAATCTAACCGTTAATTTTTTCCTTCTCACTTATCGTCTGCCCGTATCTAAAAAAATTCAAACCTCCATATTTAACCCTATTTTCCGTACCATTTCGTAGGTCCTTATATCATGATTGCACTAAAAAGGACATTTTCCAATAGCCTTATTCATTGTGTAACAGGATTTTGCCACATATTTCCGTAAATGATATATAAGGATTTTAAATTATTTTAATACTTGTTTAAACAGCGTCAGTTTATTTTTCAACAGTACCCAGGAACTGTTTTCTTACTGTTTCCGAAAGCGTTTCTTTGCGAAGAATTAAATAATGGGATAGTAAGTGCTTCTCGAATCTTTGTTAATAATACTGGAAGTCTCATTTCCTACAAAAGAAAGATTTTATTTCGTCGACCTATTTGACTTAGTATCAGAGCAGGACATCAAGTTTTGATGAGAATGATTTCTTATTCTTGTATCAGTAAAGTTTTAAATCTAAAAATTCATCTTCAGCAATGCCTTTATTTTGCTTTACCTTCAAAAAGAGACCCGTCTTCTTCAATATATCGGACCATTATTCAGGAAAATCGTTTTCCGAAGGAACATTTGTCAAAAGCAAGTTATCATTCAGGCCTTCAACGCATAGTATTAATGTTAATATACAGAAGCACAGCTGAATATAATATTTTTTAAATAATTTTTGAATCTCAAAATCATAAAATTAGGGACACGTGTTTTGCGCTTTTTCAATGGTCTGTATTTGAAAGATTCATGTTCGGACTTTTTGTTTTTGTTTATATATGTAACCAAACCTTTTACATTTGTGCGTATTCAACTTTCTAGTCACATTTCGCGAGGCTTTTTTAATTTTTAATTTTTAAAGTCATTTATCTATTTTAGTGTGCTTTTTTGTATTCAAAATGGGTTAGAAAGAATATATGCCCCATCACATAGCAGTTCAGAAATGGGTTGCTTTGTAATTCCTCTGTTTTGACCTTTGGGATTAAGTCATGCAGTCTTCTTCCTTTGATTTTCATTGTCCTATTCCTTTTGCCATAAAGATACTCCGATTTTTTTCTAATTTATATTTTAGTGCATGTTTCGGCCAGGGAACTTTGATTATTTCACTGTTTGTGCTAGTTATAGCATCCTTCTCCAGGGAATCCTTTGCGCGTTCCTCAGAATCCCGCAGTAGGCTTTGACCCATTCTAATCGGGTAAGGGTGTCTGAGTTGGAGCTCGTGGTATTGTGTGTGTGTATGTGATTATAGCAAAGCCTCAAGGGCTATCTGCCTAAAGGGAGGGATGCCTTCGTGGAGGACTTTCTAATGGAAACTGGCTCGTATACATGTTACACAAGGGAAAAACCACGAAAACGCCCATGCAGCCAGCCCGTTCGCGGGATTCGAACCTCGACCGAAGTACCAGTGTTCAGCGACGTTACCGCTCGGCCGCTGGTTGGCCTCTCGTGGTATTGTGAATGTCCTGGATTACTGTGTTACCACTGTTATGATTTTTAACGCTTCTACAGCTGATTGGCTGTTGGATTTGATAAGAATTGTTTCTAAATTGATCTTGATTGAAGTAAGAATTGCGTGGGGATGGCTACTAATTCTGCCTGAAAGTTTCTTTCAACATTATCATGGTTTTTAATCATTGAGTTATGAGGTATTTAAGGTATCCTTCCGTAAAGGTATCCTTCCATCATGCCTTCGTGGTATAACGGTAACACACTCGGCGCGTATTCGTGAGGTCCAGGGTTCAAGTCCCGGCGAGGGCACTGCACACTTTTCACGTCACCTCTTTCAAAATAACCTAATGACTTTACAGAGTAGTTTTCAAAGTTTACACAGTTAATCTTCGTAAATCGTTGTTTATTGTGAAGAGACATTAGGATTTTTGATGCCGGGAAGACGGGAAAAATGTGGAATGCCCTTGCCGAGACTCGAACTACAGACCTCTCGAATACGCGCCGAGTGTGCTGACCACTACACCACGAAGGCATGCTAAGAAGGAGGAAGAAATACCCAATAGTTGAAATAAATCTAACCAAATAAAAAATTAGTTAAGAATTTCAGTTTGCTGAAGCTAGTAAATTGATATATCTAATTCATTATAAATTTACTATATTATTTTATCCACAAAAAACAAACTTAGTAAGTTAAACTTAATTTAAAGCTGCAGGAAGACCCCGCTTATCTTGAATTCGATTTGCATAGTTATCAGTTAGCACGGTATTAAGCCAGATATTAATCAGTTAATAAAATGTTTATTTATTTATTTATTAAGGTTACGTGATATTTCTTGTCGCTAGATTTAAATATTTGTAACTAGATAGAAAGAGATTTGATGATGGATAGCTAATGCATAGAAGAGAAATACCATGTAGATGGTTAATACTCGGGATTAAAAGGAAATATTACTTGTTTTGAGCAATAGTTTAGTTTCAGTAATTAATGTATTTTAATAGCCAACTTTGTTAAACGTCGTATTAAATTTAATAAAAAGGTAAAATTCGTTTCTCTCTCTCGACGTTTTCTCCTGTAATTTTCATAAAAGTGTGAGGCAACTCTGAACTGGACTCTAAAGGTAATGCGAAATCTTCTCGTTTAAGAGCTTAAAAAAAAAAAAAAAAAAAAAAAAAAAACACTTTCATGTAATTTCTAGGTCTTTATTTTTTTAAACATGAAACTAGACAAGAGACTGTAACGTTAAATACAAGTATCTGAATAAGTTTTCTATCACACGGAGCATGCTAAGCATGTTTCATTCGCTTCAGGTTTTGAAGATTTATGAAATATGCAAGTCCGGCGAAGTTTTGGTAAAGTCCTGACATAAAAAGTCGATCATTGTTCAAACATTTTTTTAATATTTTTTTTTAAAAGTGCTTAATCTAATTGTTATAGATATAAACAACTATTTAAGCTATTGAAACTTATTAACATTCATCATTTTATATTCTTAAATATTTTACACAGGGGGCTTGAAAAATATTTGGCAAAAATATAGAGGGGACAAAATAATTATGTAGCAGATATTGTAATAGAATGTGTGTGCGCGGAAATGGCACGTTGTGGTGATATAGGGCATTGTTAAGCGGTAAGTAAAAGCGTGCTCCTGGCGTAAATCGTCATTCTCTGTGCTAATTCCGAGCGGTATGCATCTCTGCATGAACTCGCAGCTCACCAGTATGTTTTTTATCTATAGGGCTGCGTCTGAAATAGCAGTTGCTCACACGTTGCAGAGAACGATTCCCGAGTATGCCCTTTGAGCAGCCCCGTACACAAAATGATTGTTGACGAGCTCTGCATTGGTGTAGCAATGCATACTCGAAATTCTCACGGGAAATGGCAATTTACGGCAACAGAACGGTTTTACCTACCACTTAACAGCGTGCTCTACACTTCAACGCATCATTTCCGCACACATGTTTCTCTACAAAATCTACTTATTACAGTCTCTCTATCTGCCTTTACATTTTTCTTACCAGATGTTTTTGAATCACCCTGTATATACGTTTCTCTCTAAATTGTGCTAAAACTGATAGGAAAAATTTAATTGTTCCAATTATTTACTTTGTAGAGACATTAGGTTAATAGGAAGTAGGAGACGTGAAAAATGAGCAACGCCTTCGCCGGAGCCACGAACCTCTGCATACGCGCCCAGCGTGCAGACTGCTACACCACGAAGGCACACTAAGAAGGCGGGAGAAATACCTTATATACTCCCTCTTTTAAAGAGCGAATGGAGTTTAGAAGACCCTATCGCCAAATCCTGGGTATGGAGAATCACCATCCACTACTCTTTTTAGTTCGGGCGCCAGTGTAGGGACATTAGGTTAATAAGAAGCAGGAGAGATTAAAAATGAGCAACGCCTTCTCCTGGAATCGAACTACGGCCCTCTGGAATATGCGCCCAGCGTACAGACTACAACACCACGAAGACAGACTAAGAAGGCGGGAGAAATACCTTATAACTTTATTAATTTAACTGTATGCGTAATAAAGTAATCAACTGTTCAGTAATAAAGCAAACAATTGATCCAGTTGTTTACTTTATCAATTTAACTGTATCAATTAACGCAGATCGAAAAATTCTCTCTTCGGGAATTAATTAATAGTTACTTAATCGCGTTAAGAGTAGTTTCCTTGTACTTTAAGATAGCTCTTGTTAAAAACTACATTATAGCACAGCATTGTTTTGTTGTGATAAGAGTGTGCGATTAATCCTGCGATTTGTTAGCCCTGAGTAATTTATGTTCTGTAACTGGCAATTCATGAGTATTTTAGCCAACGTTTTTCTGAACAATAATGCCTTTGTTTTATACCTAAAAAAATAAGTCGACTAGTATAATAAATAATTGTTACATTATTCAAAATATGTATTGATGATACAGAGATGTTTTGTGACGATGTCTATTTTGCAAATCTAAGCAAATAATCTCACGACTTCATTGTGCGCGTAATCTCGTTAGTAAAAAAAGTCCACAGGAGCGTTTCCAGATGAGGCAGTCATAATCATTGGAGCATCTCCTTCTTTTGTACATCATCACGATCGACAGCTGTGTCTGAGACGATGTTCCGAAAACATGGTCACGTTTTTATTGATACGAAAATTTTTCGGAACTATCTTTCAGTATCATGTATGTCTTCTTTTGTTCCGCGAGGCGCTAATAATCCTCTGGTTTCTCCAGAGCTTATCAGAAACAAAGAACCGAAAAACATGGTGAAGCACATATTTCTGTTTTGGGTAGAAAAAAGCGGCAATTCAATCTTGCAGGTATAGCACAGTATAAGAACAAAAAAGAGGTTAAAAGAACATAAGAAAACTACAGAAATATTTCTATTTTTCAAACATAAAAATACACAAAAAGCCAGGGAATTCAACGAGAC